GGGAAAGGATGGTCACCATATGGAGAAGTCTCACCAAATGGAAAAGGAGGAGGGGGAGGAGAATGGAGCAGCAAACTCTTTTCATCTTCAAGTGCAGAATGCGGTTTTGTCGCGCGTGATGCTTGAGGCGTGCAGTATGAAGCGGCGGGTCGTGTTGTAGTCCAAGAGCAACACTTTCTGCCAACTGATTGACTGGTTTAAGTGCTAGCTGTTGCCTGAAGAAGAGGCTTTACTTTTGCTCTGCAGCTGTACGGAGTAGACGAATGTCGGGCCTTTTTGCTTAATCCTTAGTAAGGGAAAAAAACACATCTCTAGTCAACCACACACGTACACAGCAAGCATGTTCAGTTGGGGATGAAGTGGTGTGCATCTCGAAATTTTAAAATTTCTCAGCCGATCGTTTGAGGTATTTGCTGGAACGCTCGTTTGCTTGACGGGGAAGGCAAACAGCCACTCCGCCTCACAAGGTACTCGGTCACCACAGGCCAAAAGGATACGTCGTCATTAAGGCGTGCGGATGAAGTGAAGAACTACACTAGTAGTCTTTGAAGGTTACTTGTCATGCGTGGCGTGTGTGTGTACGCCCGGCACTCACTGCTCTAGTGGCTTTCGCGACCTCTCCTTCTCTGTCCATGAGGATAGGAACGACTTAGCTCGTAGTCTAAGACGTGAAACGCCACGGGATATTTTCCGTGACGCTTTTGTGTGTTGGCAGCACGCGATTTTCCATCACTATTAGGGAGAGAGTCCCTTTTAGACTGCTACGTAGTGTCTGTTCGTGAGTGACGGGTTGCTGGAATCCGGCTCCTTGAAACGTTTTAAAGCGATGTCTTTAGTAATTCCACCTCTTCTGGGTGCTCACAACGATTTCGCCGAGAAGCTTCTACAACATTGGAACCTCTTGGGAGGTGATTAGTAGGAGTGACCAAGATCTGATCCCTTGAAGTTCAACCGGAACTTTGTTTAGGAAAGCTGAAGATGGGGGTAAAGTAGTAGAGAGCACAGTCAGAAATGTCTTACTGCCAAACGTCTACCGAAAAGTTGAGTGACTTGCGTTCCGTTCCACGGCATCATCGTGGTGTCCGAACCTGGAGAGATTGAACGGCTCACTCTCGCTGACTCTGCATCTGGTGGAGACATTACCATCCGATGGTCAGATCCTCCTGGCTTCCTTACTTGTAATTCTTATTTGCATTGTGAGTCGTTTTTTGTAAATTGGGACTTTAGATTTCTTTCAATTTATGTTTGTGACGGTTTTGTACTCATCCGTGTTGTAAAATGCGATTCTTGGGCTCCTCAAAGCTTGCACCCTGTCTTTCGGTCATTGGTCAACTACAATGCCTCGCAGATCATCATGGCATTCATCGTTCAGGCTTTCCGTTGGCGAAATTCACAGAAGGGAAATATCTTACGGAATTTTCATCCCATAAGCTGAAAATGCTTTAACGGTGCACATTCTTGCGAGTTATTCATGAATGGTGGTGTCAGTCCATTCTTCTCTTACTGCTTAGCTACTGACTACTTTCAAGTCACGATCCACAGTGCAAACATCCCTTCTTCCTTTCACAGCTGACTCGTGAAACCACCAAGATATTACTCGAAGTGGCCGGCCAAACTGACGCAGTATGTAAGGACATAATTCGGGCTCTACTCGTCTGGCTGCTGAAGTACGCGCGTCCCAAAGTGGATGAGGCCTCGTCACTGCCTCTGTCTCCCCTCACCATTATTCCCCTCAGCATTGAGAATGCAGAGACTGGCGATCGATTCGCCAGGTATCCCACAGCCGGGGACATCGCCGATCCTGACTTCCTCAATGTTAAGGTCGATTAGGATGTACGAGGTGGTCTCTCTTTGTGATGTTATTTTTCTCCCATCAGAATGCCTTTATTAATTAAAAAGGGAGAACCGTTTTTGTGTATAATTTACTGGCTGTTACTAATGGTATATTGGAAAAAAAATGGAAATAATTATGCGTTTTTCAGGGATCTTGTGTTTTACATGGAGAACCATTCATGAGATTTGGCGCTGTGGATGAAATAAGCGCTTTCTGGATATTTTAGTCGGTAAAATTACTTAAAAACTTGATCGCCTTGAGCTATGGCATGACCAGAAAAGGCCGGGCAACCTTCAATTCAGTTTGCTGCAGGGACTTTTAAAGTGCGGTTCTGTGCACGCACTAGAAGGCACGAGTGTGAGTCGTCTCGTTGGTACGGCTGTCTTGATTGTGCTCTCTACTGCCCTCCCTCCATCTTGAGATCCCCTGTATACAATTCCGGTTGGACCTCCTCACCCCATTTTCTGAGACTTCTCCATGTGGTGACCATCCTTCCCCGACATGAGGCAACCCAATGCAATTCGAATCGACAGTTGGGAAATAGAAGTGGGCCAGAAACGGTGGTGTGTGGGGCTGGATTTTTCCCTCTAGGGACGAAGCATTTTGCAAGAGTGGAATTTGAAGCAGGTCTGTGTCTCCCCCTGAAAAGTCTATGGTGTGAAATGTTGACCGATTGGCTCCCCAATCGGAGCACCTTAGGTAAGCAAACGAGGAGGGCACCTGGGGAAGGACACCAGTTCTAGCATGGAAGAAGGAAGTGAATTGGAATAGACGACAAATGGAACGGTGGTGATAACGCACAGCATGTGGATTCGGGTGTGGAGTCAAATGGTGTAACACCTTGTCAGCCCAATCGTTGTGGCAGGAGTGTCGAGAGTAGAATCACACACTTCTGAGGTGAATGTGAATACCCTTTGTTAATAATGATGTGGCCATTGTGACCGAGTGTCATTTGATCCCCTTCGGGATTCGTGGGTCATGGTTACCACCTAGATGCCACAACATTCCATCATTCTGGGCGTTCTTAAAAGAGATTTTATGCACCTTCCGCGTCAGTCTTCGTGGATTTTATGCCTCTACTGACGTTAAAGTTACGATCGTCTTCCGGGCCAATGGTAAGGCGTATCGAAACAGCTTGATCGTCAATCAACCGTGGTGGTCACGTGAGGCTAAAAATGTAGTGAGTTGGGAACACTAGTGGCTTCAGTTTTAGCTGTATAGCCCTTCCGGCTCTTTTAAAAGAACCAAAATAACTCATTTATGTGCCCTTGGGTCTGCCCGCATTGTGCGTCTGCTTTGTGGCATAGCCCTCCAGCCATCCCGTTCTTCAATTATGCGTGCAGTTTACAATACGTTGACAGGCTACGACTCCAAGGAAGACATAATATTCCTTTTTTTAATCGTAATTTTGTGTAAATTTTTCTATGGGATGTGCTTGACTTATGAAGCATGAATGCTGTCGACCATCATCTGCATACCGAATATATTCTCCCCCGAAAACTCGCACTACGGGAAGTAAGGCCAGACCCACTGAATCTGTTGCCACAAACAGGAAGCACAAGACCTTAAATGCGAACTCATCGCATTAGCATCGGTACGTTATCTCGAATAGTCGAGCCAAGTAATGCAACTCGTTACAGAGGGAATAGAAACGCGGGCACAGGGATAAACAGGAAGAGCGCCCAGGTAGGGATTGTGATTTGCTTGAATGTAAGCTTCACATTCTTTCAAATCTAACTCTTTCGGTAGCGACATGATCGTCTGCCGATAACAATCGACTGTCGGTTCTCGGAACTAATATGCAATGTTCCTTTTGGGAGTACTTGCATAAATTATAAGCACCCACTTCCAGTGACAAATCATAGGTGTTAAGAAATAAATTACTTAAATCAAAGTAAATCTACACCTCAAAGACCTAAAAGAATAGCAGCATATCTCCTGATTTAGTTATTAGGTATTAAATGCAGGGTCCTTTCTGTAAATGGCAAATAAGTCAGACCAGGATTAAAGTTAGAGCATACCTTTTTCAGTTACATTTTGGCAGTGTAGAAAACCGCCTACAATAGCATAAGATTTACATTGTGTGGTCATTACCATTTTAAAAAGCAGTGGCAATAAAAAGTGACGAATGACAACCCAATGCCTAGGTAAGTGTGTGTTCTGTCTGTTCGTTGATGCCAAGTTCTCCCTTCGTCATAAGCCAGGGCGGTGACCTATTTAAACAAAGAAAACTTGCTGGTGCTGTGAGTGATCAGTCTGACACAGAGTGGCTTAACATGGCGGACATTGCTGACGCAGAAAGAACACCTCTCCTTAATGACGATCAAGTTATGAATTGTACCCCCGGTTTCCCAAACGAGGATTCTGCTAGCAGTGCCCACTTCAATGAAGTTTTGAGGGAGGCCATTGAAGCCATCAATTGTAGTGTTTTCCCCGAAAGAATCTATCAAGGGTCCAGTGGCAGCTACTTTGTCAAAAGCCGCGACGGTGTAAGAAAGTATTGAGTTAACTTACATTGTTTTGATTTAACAAGGCTCATTCGTTTCTTACACGGTTAAAATAACTGTATTTTGTGCGCTCAAGTTGCTAAATGAAACAGTACTCAGCATTCAAGGGGTTCTATGTTACTTTATTGGCCTTCTCAAATAACGCACTTAAATATAGGTTTACTGAATGCTTTTTTTGCTGTGGCGGTTATTATGGATCCAAAACCTAGGCAAATATGGCATTTATTGCAGACTCCCATATCAAAAAAGCCTAAGTGAGTAGGAGTTAAAAATTGTGCTCTTGCTTGCTGTACATTTACGATTACCTGAAAATACTATCAAATTACTTACACCTAACTCTTCATAACTGGAAGAAAGTTATGCCCATCCTAATGTAATATATAAGTAAAAGGTAGTGTCAAAGTGGAATTGATTGGGATGGAGCTTGGATCTAATTAATTCAGCCCCTTGAGTCGCGTGATTGACGCTTAGTGTCCTTTTTTAGAAAAAGATCGCTGTATTTAAACCCAAAGACGAAGAACCTTATGGAAAACTGAATCCCAAGTGGACAAAGTGGATGCATAAGCTCTGCTGCCCCTGTTTCTTCGGTCGTAGCTGCCTGGTCCCCAATCAGGGCTATCTTTCTGAGGTGGCTGCAAGCCTTGTCGACGAAAAACTCGGTTTAAACATCGTTCCCACCACAAAGGTTTGCTGTTTGCTTTGCTTCTATGCAAGCACCCTTTTAGGCGTGCAATGTTGTTTGTTTATGCCGTCATTTGTTTATTGTGGCTCATCATCGACACCATATCAGGGATCAGCCGCCATTGTTCTTCTTCTCTTTGTGAATCTAGTCTAGTCGTTAATTGACTTCATCTGTTTGCTTTTTAATTCTCTAGGTTTATTGTCAAGTATCCTGAATCTACTTTAACTTGCCCTCAGTTTCTGTGTACATTAAATAAACCATTCTACTTCCGCAAAGGTTGTTAAATTGGCAAGTAAAACATTTAATTACCGTGCCGCCGTGCGCGCCGCATCTAAGACGAAACAGCGGTTTGCTGATCGTTTTCCCGACTTGGGGCGACACTTTCACAGACTTGGACTTCCTCCCAAAGTGAGTTTGTTTCAGTTTCTATTCATCCTTTTACAGTTTCATTCCTCAAATTTGTTGCTGCTGACTCACCTTAGTTGATCACTTGATACATTCGTATCGATGTTCTAGTTTGGATCTTGTCAGTGCCATCCTGAATTACGAATCTCCTCATTCCTGCTACGTATCTCAGACCGTCTTAATTAAACTCAAATTAGAGGGAAGGTGCATTTTTTCACCTACACGATTTGTTTGGATTCGGTTATTTGTTGGCCGATGAAGGCCTTGGTGTTGATGAATTAATGAGGGATCATTCTGCAGATTCTCGATAGCAGGTGTTGAGTTGGTCCTATTCTTCATACACTTTTACTTGAAGGATGCTTTGGGTGGTAATCATTTCTTTGGACACTACACGGGTAAGGTGATTAGTAGCTTGGATTGCATTCCGCAGTCCGGTTTAATCTATCCACTGTCTAGATAGGCCATATTTTTACTCTTGAAAATAAATATACTTCACTCTTGGTTTCAAGTTGTGGCTGTGGTAAAATCATTGGATTTTGACCTCTTCATGTCGACATTGCGTGTCATGTTTTCACTGTTGCCATTCTCGTGGCTTTGACGACGTCGGAATCGACCTATCTTCTCATGCTTATTTATCGCTACGTCTCTTTCAGTATTTGCGGAAATTTCGTTTATCTGATTTAAATTTAACCTAAATTAGGTTAAAAACTTTCCTCTTTTCTGCCGAACTTCCCTGATTCGATAAATTTGTCTACAAACTCAGGAGCAGCACGAATGGAGGTGGTGCCTAAAACTGGTGAAACAGTGGGGGCATCGGAGGGTTGAATTGATTCAATTCACCCATCTTAGAAACTAATTTTACTGATGGCGCAAGAGGCCGATGGGCATGACTTTAGCGGTTGCGACAACACCGGAGCAAATGCCTTCTTTGTCATCTATTTATGAATTAGTAATCAAAGCAAAGGCAAAATCTTGTAAAACAACTGTTATTTTATGGCCTGAAACCATTCTCCCATTTTACACTCTCCCTTACCTAGAATCACGACAATCTTCCAACTTTATGTTTGTTTAATATGGCATAATGTAGTTTTGGGTCCACCAGCCTGGCAAAATAGGATGTAGTATGTCACTCAGAAAAAAGGCTTCTCTTGATTTATGAAACAAATCTCGAAAATTTATGATCACGGTAATATGGAGAAAATCCATGGCTTCGAAATGAATGTCAAAGCATTTTCCTCATTCACTATGATATCTCTTGCCTCATGCCCTGTCTGAAAGCCGAAGCATAATGCGCCCTTTTAGCAATTTTTCTCCTCTTCTTCCTCCTCTTCGCATTCCTCTTCTTCGCACTCGTCCTCTGGGCCTCCCTCAATAAATTGTTCAATTGCGGTCTCTGGACTCAGGCTATCACTCATTCTATAGTCACAAGGCGTGCAGAGGTGGATTTTAAATTCTTTTGGCGCAAAGCTCACCAAGTAGTTCACTGCAGCGATAAGCGATTCCTTCGTGTCTCCAGTTAGTGTGACATTGTAGTAGAAGTGCAAGTTCTCGGCATTCGGCTTCTCTGAAATGTTTACGTCTATGTTGTAGCGCATGCGCAGCGCCTGGAACAAATTGTGTTGCGAAGGTCGCTCGCACAACTCGAGTACAAAGAGCTCGTAGTTTTCCCCCATAGTGGGACACCCATTAGAGTCGCACCATGCTTTCCAGTCCTCCTCACTGTCTAGGTGTTGCTGACAGTCAAGGAAGGCCATCACCATGCGATTCATTATGTCCACTGCCGGCGCGCCTAGATTCACTGTGTACTGTCCGCCATTTTTAATCTCCCCGGGGAAACCACGTCCCCCGGCTGCGACCTCACCCTTACTGCGGAGGGGCTGAAGCTTTGTGAAGATGTCTTCTTCCTGTTCCTCTTCCTCGCTTAGTCCCCCTTCCTCCTCTTCGGACATAGCTCTGGTGAAACTACCCTCTACCAGAATCGATGACCTTGCACGCGACTGATACACGTGACTTGCTAAAAGGATTTGTAGGCTTTCATTGTTGTTGCTGGTGTCTTGCGGTAGGTGGGCTCCTTCCAACTCTTTGCTTCGGGCTGTCAGGACGCCTACTATTGGCTCAATCGATTTGATGCGGATCCACTGCCGGAGGAGGCACAGACTAGCCTTCAGCATCAATTTGAGAAGCTGGTTGTCCTTGACTACGTAATTCGTAATACTGGTAAGTTAGTTTGAGTCATTGTCTTATCTCAAGAGCTTAGCTGCGGACTTGTCTTTTCGTTTATCCGTTTATTTCTTGTGCTAGGTGATTGATTACCTAGGGTGAAATACGTAATAATGATAACGTTCTACAGCGAGCGCATTTCATATGACATCCGCTTTTGGCAGTAAAACCTAAATGCTAGAAGTTGTCCCTCGGATCTTCAACTTATTTTCACTCCTTTTTATCACTATTTTTATCACCTAGCTGTCCATCCGGGCGTAAGGAGGTGTCAGGTACCTGGGGGCACTACTCAGTATTTCTTTTTATAAGAAGCTTCTTCGATCTTATTTTTGTTTCTTTTCATGGATCAAATGAGCGTTTGCTAGCCAACTTTATTGGTTCTGTTTTATGTGTCTATAACCCCGACCGTTTTTGGCATAGGGATCAGTGGAGCAGTAAGGTGATCAAAGAACTTTGTGCATTTTTCCCCTATAAAAAGAGTTAAGCGACCACAGAAGATCTCTTTTGGGGCTTTATTTGTCGAGATAATTGCTATTACAGTCGACTATTCTGTCCCAACGAGACAAGCGACCTGCGGATTGTACCCTTATGGGGCATTTTGTCTACAGAGGCAATAAAACTGTCTTGGTTCTGCATGCGGTTGTGCTATCCATCCAGTGCCAATAAAAGTGGTGCTAGTCGTCACTTGGACTTACAGGTTAGTGAGAAGCCACTTTAATATGAATGAAAGAAGTGAAAGTCGAACGTCTAGTTTTCGGATTTATCACTGGAGTCAAACCTTCATATCCGAACCATTTCTGTGCGATTTCTGTACTGTCTGGCACATTTGTGGAGATCCACCCGCAACTATGGAACGGAGTCCAGCTTGGTGAGTAAAGCGACGAAGCTTGAATCACATCCATTACCGTGGATTAACATGATTTTAATGCGGGTTTTAATTGTATGAAAGTGGTCGCAAGTACCGTACCAGTATCCTACCTATAAACCGACGTGGGAGAAATAAACAATCCAATTTTCCTTGCCCCCTTGAATCAAGCTGCATGAACTTTCTTTGGTCACTTCCCTTGAAGGGTCCTTGAAATCGACCGTATTGTTTGTAGGGATCAAAATGTGCTAAACATATTCCACCACTCATGGAGCGGTGATTGTTAAAGGAGTTTTCTTTAATTACACGATTCTATACCGGGAAATAAACAGAAGCTGTCAATTCTTCCATGGTTTTATTAACACTGATAGGTAAAGTCAGCAAATTCAAACGATTCTCGCGAAACGAGCAAGTGACTTTTTAAGGGCTGGGAAACTTCTTATTCAATGCCCCCATATGGACAATACTTGCGAATTTGGCTTTTTTCTTCTGCTTCTAGATCGCGGCAATGACAATTGGCTCATTCGTTATGAACCGCCCGAAGTTCCAGCGCCCTCTTCAGAGGGTGTAAGTTGCGTGGTTCTTTGCAGTTTCCCAGTTTCTCTACACTGAAGCCTGCTAACGGCGCTTTGCTTCCTTCTTGGTAATCCCTAACTTCCTTATACTGCAGGCACCAACATTTGCATCAATTGATCGCTTCTTCATGCTTTGGAATGGGTGAATGTACCTCGTTGCATCTATCAGGAGCAGTTGTATGCACTCGTGCATTATAAGACATTTGATGTGCCTCAGACTATCGGTGCGATATTCCTTATTGGACTTTGTGCCACTTCCCTGGTACTTTGAACCTTCATATAAAAGATTCTTTCAAATTGGTGGGCAAATCGAGTTGAACTCGACTTCTATGCTGCAGGCACGCTCTATCTTCCATTTGAATGGATGTGTGAGCGACATCATTGACCCGGGGACCTCGAGATTAAGGTGGCAAGGCCAGATATTGGTCGTGTTTCACGCCATTGAAAGGTAGACAATCCACCCCCGAATGTTTCATTGTTGGTTGTCCTTAACTCATCTGCAATGGCTAACCTCCACCCACCACACACTTTGAGGTGAAGGCTCGCATCGCCTCATCCACTGTCTCCTACAATGCTATGCTTACTCTGTCTAGGTCTGAGATTTATCCGCATGATGGGGTGTAATTAGGTGTTCATGAAAAACTTTTCTTGAAGTAGGCTGAACTTGGGCCGTTGAATCAGTGTGCAGAAGGTGCTCTTCTGAGTTTTATAAGATGGCACAACATAACACGACCTCGTATTGCACTCTAGGTCATAATGAGGCGAAGATACTACCCCGCTGGCGTCCTCCATATCCCCTGATGGTATTTCCTCGAGTAGTACCCAACACCTCAACATTAGACCGTCAAGTGTGGAACATGATGTTCGGGAAAGAGGACCATGACAAGGGTGGAAGCAATTAGCTCTCGGTTTTTGTCTTTAGATTTTCACTGGGAATTGCTTGAACTAATCCTCTCACCTGTTATCAACTTTAACTTCCTTAGAAGTCACAGATTATAGCCCCTTTGGATGCTTTGTCGGCTTACACTAAAAACGCCTAGCTTCACAAAACCTAGATATCCTCTACTCCACTGGCATTTCCCTATTCGCCTCCTCTTCTCTTTTCAGGGAACGGTAGCTAAGTTGATTGATCATGTGAGTTGGCAACTTGATCTCACCTTCAAATGGGATGCGCCTGCTTTTTATACAACCTGTATATGTGTCTGTGTGTGTCGATGACACCCTAAGAAGAAAAAATCATACTGCCTTGTGACTTAATTTGAGTTCATGTGAATTTTAATTATTCTCTGTGGGCTTACTCTCCTCTCCTCTCTCCCTCTAATTGGTTGGAATTGGGGGTTTGAAACGTCCTGGTTGTGTGAGATTTTATGGCAAATTTTGTTGTTATAATCACTGCCTATCTAAAAGTTTTCACAGATCACTTTGTGCAATATTAAATAGGCTTTTCTCACTACTCTTTGATATTTGAATTAAATTAGGGGTTAGTTCACATCTTTAGTTTAGGAGCTCGGTTGGCGTCACTCTCTCATGAGACACCGTAGCACTTGATTTCCCCTTCTGAAGGCGCTGCAGAGTGTCGAGTTCCAAGTCGTGCTACTCAAAAGAGGTTGCAATCTTGTTTCATTCCTCGTTCGCCTTGCAAATGTCCTCCTCAACGCTCATTGTTGACCATTGGATGCTATCTATCTGACTGCAAATCAAACGTGGTTTTTTTCCATTGCTTGAAAAAAACCACTTTAATGACGGTTCTGTTTGTCTCCTGAATGGTGTTTTGTGATCATTTCTTCTTTCAATCTTGCCTCCGTACTTTAGTGGCAAGATGTCGATCCAACCTTAGGAAACAGCTTCTTAAGAACTTCACATCAGTCCAAATCCACCCTTGCTCACAATACTTAGAATCTTGAGAGACCAAATGCAAAACTCTTCCTTCCATGGCGTCTACTCGATGGGTTTTCTCTGTGAAAGCGAGATTGTTGCTCTTGTTGAATGCGTTTGTTAGCTGGTGCCATCAATATGGTGTCCCCCAGTTCAGATCTCGGGGGTAGGTTTATTATTTCACGCGTGTAAGAGCTGAGGGCCTGCAAACCTGGCTTCATTTTTTTCAACCTGAAATCATGGGTTTGTTTTTGGAAAACTAGCTTTTGAATCATCACCGTGCACTACTCATAACTAACCTTTCCATTATAGGGCGACGATATTCCCGACTCCGTTCAGCCCGGAATTCCCAAGGTTACAGTTGTCGCCATTGACAATGGCCTAGCATTTCCCTTTAAGCACCCCGACGAATGGCGAGCTTGTACGTTTCTTCCTTTCTTTTTAACTCGATTCATGGCTGCTTATGTGTAACTTCTACCTTAAAAGGCCTTGTCTTCCACATAGCCAAGGGTTGGGGGATTGTGAATGATTTTTTTTCCCGTTAAGAAAGAGGGGTTGACTTCCTAACCGCAAACATATCCACCTCAAATGCTGCAATCCCTTGTCTTCTGCGCAGTTAACCTGATTATGCATGCACAAATTCTCATTTACTTAACTAGCTCTATCTCTTTTTTGACAAGTAATTTGCAACTGCTTGATCTATTCGGCGACAGTTATTCATGGTGGCAAATGGGAGGACTTATTTGACAAAAGTGTGATATTGTGCAACGGTAGTCTTTTCGCCAACTCTAGTGATCACATCTGGCCGATCTTTTTCGCAGGTTCTTGCGCATATCACGTAAAATACGACGGCTCTATCGACTTTATCCCCGAGAAGGCTCAGCATCCGTTTGTCTTGGGACTGACTTGTTCAGTATTTTCTCTTTCGTGGTGAATCCGCTTAGCTCTACTGCTTTGGCACTTTTTTGGAGTTAGAAAATCGTGTTTATTTGATTAAGGAATTCCAGATCTCGTCGGAACGCGTCAAGTCATTTTTCCCCTCTGGTGGTCAAAAGTGCTAAGGGAATGTCTTCTTGTAATTTATGTTCCTTTCTATAGACTGGTGGGAAAGTTGACAACTTAAATGGATTTGTTTTATTCATCGTGAGGCAGGCATTAGATAACGAAGCTTTAATCCCAGGCTGATATGGTACAGTCGTTTATAGAGCGGTGAATCCCTGTGTCTTTAGAGGTCTTTATTTATAGGGGTCTTGACATGTCTGCTACCAGCATTGTCTGCAATGTCAGTTTGAGATGTCCGGGTACACCACATTATGTCGGATTTCGCCAACAGACGACAGCTATTGGAGTTGTTGGATAAGCTTCAAGTCCAGGCGCACGGCCTTGACAAATATTTGGGCTTTTTGACCTGAAACACGGTGTGGTGCTGTCCCTTCGATCACCAGTTCATGAAATCCTTGTTCATCGCAGTACGTTCTGGGTAAACCTTCACAGTGTCTCGGGAGTCATCAGTATGGACCACTGTAATTGGTTCCTGAGGTACCTCTTCTCTTCCCCCTCCTCCTAGATCCCTTCTACTGGGCCTGGCTGCCATTGGCAAAAATTCCCTTCTCCGATAACATCTGTAATCACATTCTTCCACTCATAACCAATGTGCACTTCGTGAACGAGCTCGTCCGTGACCTGTATAAACTCTTTAAGGTAAGCCGTGCCCCTTTTATCTCCGCTTTCACTGCCAATCATAAATTAGTGTATTCCTGGTACACCGTGGCGCACATGTCACCTCTAAAGCAACTCATTTAATAGCACACAGGGGAACTAGGGAGCCCAGCAGTAGATCGAGTGCCATCTCTGTCACTCTCAGCGATTGCTCTCCTGCATTGGCTATTGCAGCAGTGCTTGAATAGGTCGCCGCCAACTGCATCTCATGGGCGTCAATAATGTTCACCTGTCACGGCTGGAGGATTTTTGATGCCAAGCTGAGTTCAAGCGCCGATCACTTTCTACTGGAGAATTTGCCTAAGGACCAAACAAACCAGTTTTCAGCGACCGAAAGTACCGCCTTGTAAAGATACGCTCCAACCTTAATATGATCTGAGTTGTTCACTGAGGATAGAGTTTGCGATTTTGGGTCCAAAGGTGGGCCTTTGACGTGAATAATTCGCTGAATGGGTTAGAACCCGCGTCAGATATGGTACGAGGGGTGGTTCACATCAATCCTCTCACAGCTTTATTTAAAGCTTCCTTTGAAATGTCTTTGAAGTAGTCAAGTTGGCCCTTTGACACCCTGCATGTGATGCTTGACTTTGCGCTGCGTAGACACCTACATCAGCCCTCGAACTTGCTTTATCTGAGGGTACTTATGTGCTTAAGTGAAGTATCTGAGATTATTAAGCCTTTTGGCCTGGAAGAGGGTGGGGGGAGTTAATTGCCTAACACCTGTTTTCTCCTTCCACTCTTCAGACGGATCCAGGATTTGACCGGAAGACGTTTGACAAACAGATGGCTGTTATGCGAGGCCAAGTGAGTACGCTTCATAAACTTGCCTTGCAAATTGACTGATAAGTTGTTCTCATGCGCTTTTTGGTACAACTCGATGCAGTGTCCTGTTGTAACCAGTGCGGATATTTTAAAGGCCATTTGATGCTTCCATTTCTGAAGTATAAAGGTTACCATGCCAGTCTGATGCCCATTGTTTTGCCGGTTGATGCAAGTAGGTGGGTGAAACCCATTCGCCTAGCATCGATCACGACTTTGACTTTTCAGCTGATCCCTTTTTAATAGGGCGATTGTTCCCGCGTCAGTGACGTGAAACAATACCGAGACCTGGTGTTGCCATCTTGATCTTGAGGTGCTCGGGTCAGTAGTATCGTTCACTCATCATTTCCAATGGAAGATGGAGAGTCTTTCTAAATGTGCTGCAGCATGTTTGAGTGCTTCTTCACCAGATCCAAAAGACTCAGCTTGAGCCACTTTGGGAAGGCAACTTGTTCTGCCACCACGCCTACTCGAAAGACTCTATAATATCGACGGGATGCATCTGCAGCATTGGAAGCTACTTCAACCCGATTTCAACTAGGAGCTAGCTTAAATCGCATTCGTCGAGTTTCGGAGTTGGGAACGGTAGAGTAATGCACCGACAGATTGATACATCCATGGCCTTTGTGATTCATACCTACAAACAGTTCTTCTGTACTGAAAACCACACGGACTTTGTTTAGTCGCCACATGTCACACTACCTTTACCGTTTGCATAATACGTGAATTGCGGGATAGGCGGATTTTACTTTTGACAGCATAGACAATGGAACCCTCTGCATGTAGCCTCGCACCCTTTTCTCTCCCACATGGCCTGGGTTGTGGATTGTAAGTCGTCTCCTAGAGAGGTTTCGCGTCATACTGCGCAGTTCTCGGATTGGAACGCGTTCCTTGCGTCAAAAGACGCGATTGGAAGCTGCGAGTAATCGCTTGTCGAGTTACATTGTCCGGCCAGGTAGACACGACCCTTCATACCGGGTCGATTGTGCACAGATCTCCCTACGAAATCGGTTGAAAAGGAGACCGTACTCTTGTGAATTGCTAAATTCTTTTTTTTTCAGATTTTGAATTTGCAGTGCGCTTTGCGTGAGCGAAAAACCCCGCTCCAACTGGTGCAAATACCAGTCGTGACAGTTGAGCGAGAGAAGCGATCAATAACTCGGCGCCTGCAGCAGGTAGCGCGCGAACTGCTGCCTCCGAACGTGCAGCTGGGACGAGCCGCCGCAACTGCCTTGGAGGATGAGGAGGAGGCCTGCGCCAGTCCCTCGGGTGACGAGTTGGATCCGCCCGACTCGCCGGGTAGTGGGGCTAGTGGTGGCAGGAGTTATTTCACCTCTCGCTACTCTCGTCGCCCCTTCTTCACACGCTTCTAGCCGGGCTGCCCGCCCACGTCATGTCTTTCAGATCTCATTGTCTCCGTGTGTGTCTCTGCCTAATTCTTTTCCCCTATCCTCTCTCCCACCTACTGAAAATCACCGTTCCCCCTCTATCTTCAAATTCTGTTTTCATACCTACCTGTGTGTATGTGTGTGTGTGTGTATGTAAGAGTCCATTTTGGTGTCCCTCCTTGTCTCGTATGATTTGTTTACGATTACAATTGTATTTGCTTATGTAAATGCCTCTCGGAAGGTCACTAGGAGGCAGACAGAATGGTTGCACGGCTTAGTAAGTATCCGGTTTGTTCCGTTACTCCCGCTGGAATTGATTAGGCATTGATACTTGCTTCTTTCCCCACTGACAAAGGAGCTTTGCCACTTCCTAAAACTCCGACTCTGAAAACGGGAAACCTTGAGGACTTCTTACTCAGTAATGAGAGCAGTCGTGCTATTTGGCTGTCAGCTTTTAAGGCTATGTCCTTTATTGGTTGAAAGAAGTGAGGTGTGACCGTGACTTTGGGGCTTGCTGCCGTGTCCCAAACGCCCATGATGTTTGTCGTCCCTTTTGCTTACCTTGTGCCGTGACCTTTCCTTTTCAGTCCATATGGGTGTCAGTGATTTGTTCCTTCGCCACAAATTTGACGTGATGTCGCAGACATGGACTTCAGCTCGGTTCATCAGGTCGGTAAGCCCGAGTCGTGGCTGTCTGATCCCGGAAATTCGACTAGACTGACTCATATCTGCCTGGTGCTTCATACTGAACCCACATAAACAATTGCGTGTTTCCTATGTCGCTCTTACGCCACCACCGTATCAAGAGGTATTATTCCACTTGCACCGCGATTGTTTTATTTATCCATTTGACTGCGTGGGCGCCACGATTCCGCCTGCGCAAATCACCCGAGTCACCGGTTCTGGTGTCGTCATTTATGGCTATCAAGGTGGACGTGACGTGGACGTTGCAGAAAGAAGGTATCCCTTGTAGACGGTTTAAATTGCTGTGGCTTACGACAGACAGGGCATTAAAAACACATTAATCTTTGTACCCCAGATCCAAAGAGGTCAGATTTGAGTCATTCAATACCGTTCCACCTTCCAGGAGCTGGAGTGTACTCCAAATTAAAGTGGAGGAAGAAAATTTAGCATCATTACCGTATTTTGAGGCATACGTTATGGAACATCAGTCTTGAGTAAGGCAAAGCAACCGAACCTTGGAGGGAATGTGGCTCTCGAAGATAATGTGATGGGCAGATTTTCCAAAGTAGGTGGGATCACTTTTCATTTGATAGTGAGGAAAGGGAAGTTTTTGCTTTTGACTCACCAGTTCCCGATCACCTTGTGACGATGACGCGTAGATCTGACTAACAACGGTGCAGTAAATGGGACTGAGGAGGGAAGGGAGGATACGCAGCGGAAGTGTATTTGCTTTACCCGTGAATTTCATTACGTTGGATTCCAAATTTTCACAACTTGACTGGCACACACTGCTCTTGCCGCCGGAGTTTGGCGTCTCTTCAGGCCATCTCCACGTCGTTGTAAACTACTCCACCTTCATGAAAGCCTAGGAGAAGCGACTGTTGACAGCGTCGGTCCGCAGTAAATAGGTAGCTCGGAGAGCTTTCATAATACATCGAAGCTAAATAAAATTTGTCAACTCTACGACAGGTGGAACGTCGTTGAGTTGTGGCCTCGGCCAATATATGTAGGGGTAGTTAGCTAAGGGCCATATAAACGTAAAACAACAGGATTAAGCGAGTAAACATTCAGAAAAGATTGTTACTGGTTATATATATTAGTATATTTCGAAAGAAACGGTTATTTTATGGTCATTTTTTCCTGAACTATGGTCGAAGGGAAGTGACGTGGTTAGGCTGTCTTCCACAAAAGAATCGCGGTTTTGCCTCGACTGAAGTATATGAAGTTGTTCTCCACATGAGTAATAAAACTAAAAGAACACAAATAAATCAACTTGAAATGCTTGGGTATGTTATTCCTATTTCCGTCTATCGGTTGGAATCAAATTCATTGAAGAATTCAAGTGCTCAATGCGTAGCTACTGAAATACGATTAAGTAGACGCCTCCGGTAACCCGGATACCCGTTTGCCTACCACTACATTGTGACAGCGTGCACGGCCTCATTTGCAAGTGAAATTAGATTTGAGGATGCTAAGGCATACATAAATAAAGTTACCTTTCAAGCTTGATGAAGTGACACTGATAAATTACTCATTTAAAGTTACCGTTCCAACACCCACTGAGACAGGTTCTATAAGGACTGTCGACGTTATTAACCAACCAAAATATATTTTCGCACGAAAAATTCCGAATGCTTACTCAACTCCGAATTCAAGCCTTATTATGGAAAAACTAACACAGTTTCTTGTCCCTTAAAAGGAAAACTAACTCCCTCCGCAAAGTGTTTTAATGGCGATTTTATTGCGAAACGTAAACCCGCATTCAGTCGTCAGCACGCTTTCCAGCTAATTAGCGAATACCCACGCAGGGGATCAGTTACCACACTCCTGTGGTGGTTAGATAAAACAACATATAAAATTTCTCATAACATCTATTTTTGGGGTTTGCCCAACGAGTGAGAAAGGTTTAACGAATCAATTTGTTTAAGGGTGTTTAGGTACTAAGTTGTGGGAAATTTAGTGGTGTTTTATTGCTCTTGTGTTTAATTGACACTACATCATTTTTGCAAAACCCCAATCAATCCTTATTACGGATTCTAATTTCTACTGGCAGTCGATGGGGTTGAGAAAAACTGTTCTAGAGCATTACAAAACCCAAGCACTTCGCTATAAACTTTCCGTAAACGCATGTACGAGGCACGATCAAATTTTTCGTTGATTGAATGTTATTGTGAGAAGTTTAGCCACCGGTCGCCGGTTACTTCATAACAGTTGGTTGTACTTATGTATCGGCATTTGTACCAATTTAAATTATGGTTATAGCTTTCCCATTCCCAAGCGCGTCGATTCGAATGTAACTCGGGCGTCACTTTATTGTCATTCATAGTTCACTCCGGACAGCATTATGCAAAAGCAGTCAAGAAGGCGAAAGTTTATTTTGGGTGGCTGATTCTGCAGAGGCTCATAACAAATGGGCTAGAAAACTTGATCCACTAGTTCTAAGTTATCCTTATTCGAATTCTTCAAATCTACGCATGCCAAGAGAGAACAACTGCTTAATGGACTACGTATTGCGAAAACGATTTAGCTAAAAGGAGAGGTGTAGAGTGACAAGAGACAATAAGAGGTGAATACTTTTGTAGTAAAACGCTTTAGAACTTGTCCTCGACACGTTTATTATTGGGTGGATCTTGGCCCTTAAGTGGACGCTTTTGCAAAGGCGATTAAAAGATTTTGGCATCGCTATGTCTACGCAGTGTGAAAATTGCTTTTGCTTGATTAAGGGTGATTTATCGATACCGCTGGCCCAACTTACCACGCTACAGCAGTGGATTGATAAAGACACGAACAAGGTCACAACAAGCATTTCTAGTGGAATATGATTAACTTTGAGGAAAGAAGTCTAATTGCGCTTTATCGTGTGGCTTAAAACAATGTATATAACTCGAATAACTCATGACACTTAGCACTTGTATGCAGAAACAAACACAAATCCATCCACAAGAAGACAATAGTTGAGCCTACCTTCCAAAGTGGTTGCCCACAATGCAGTGCCAATTGGGCGTGTAACGCTCGTCAAATTCCTTCTTAATCATGTTTGCAACTGCGCGCGGTTCGGAGTTCCTATCCAGTGCTCTTCGAGCCGTCTCCAGTGCATCCCTCTCCATATCCTTGGGCATTTTGCTGCTTCGCACCTCCAGCTTCTCCTGTTGCTTGTACATTTCTTTCCGGCTGCAAGGTTGAGCAAGTCTGTGGTACCAGGTGCAACGTTTTCTCACTTCGCACACCTGTAGCCCTCGCACAGGCCTTTAATTAACCCTGACGTTGGGACGTGTACAGCCTTCCATTGGTGCGGTCTGTTCATGAACCGCCTCGCTCCTGATTGGCTGAGGGTCCTGAAATTCTCGGAGGCAACGGTATACTGCCTAATCTTAACTTAAGGAATGAAATAAAGAACTTTTTAGAACTTCTATTCAGTTGGTATCTTTTTAAGGGGCTGAAAACCTGTATCATTCCACTTTTTTGTTTCGGTACAAAACTCTTGAGTGCTCAGCTAGTTGTATCAGCTGAAATTACATCGCTGCTGTGAAATGCGGGTTCCATGTGACACCAACGCTCTTGAATTCAGGTGATACCACCAATATCTTTCGTTTTTCTATTTTTTCTGACTTAAAATCACTTTAGAAGCGACTTCTGTGGAGTTGCAACCAATGCTTTGCTTTATTAGGGCCGAAAAAACAAGGAGAAAACGTTTTTTTCTCACTCAATAGCCAGAAGGACCAAGATCAACTCCTCTGATGAAGAGAAGATACGCTTGTCAAATGGTTACCGTAGATGGTACCCCTAAACATTTCGATAGGAAGGCTTGCATTTTCTGTCAACCTCTAAATGCACTACCGTGGATACGCCAAAACCCTTAACCTCAAGAATCACCTCGCATTTCCTCATCTTTATCTTCCCCGTCTTTTTTGTGCAATTGTGGCAAACTCTCACAAGCGCACGCATAGTTATGGTACTCTTGCTGATGCACACCCGTCAATAAGACTTGAAGTTAACGCTACCCAACCCGACTCCCTCCATCTCGTCCCCGGTGATCTCAATCGTGCGCAATCTGGGTCAGAAGCATGGCTTAGCCTTCCTTTTCCCTATATAGAGATTGCCAAATTTCATCTTTTCTACAGGAATAAGGCGTATTCTATGCATGCCTGACGCTACGGAAATATAGGGCGGGTTTGTAAGATCGCGTCCGATTTTGACTACCTCCCCAATCCCGAGTACAGCACAACGGCTAGTGTAGCTGCCTACCATTCCTCTATCCTTCAGCAAAAAGGGGCAGAGTTGATACAAATACTTATAGACTACACAAAAATTATTTGTATAAAACAAGCAGAAAAAAAATATCGGCGACTGCGGAGAGGCGTTAGTCGCATTTCCAGAGGAGGATGGCCAGATCGCGGATGAAGAAGTAAATATAGTGTTGAATTTGGTGGGTCACTTGGCTAGAGGGGGGAATACAAAAAAAATCTTCAAACACTCGGCATGTGCACTAAATGTCAAGACGGTGGTAACTTAAATCGAAAAGTGGGAGGGGGGAGACAAATGGTGGTCCCCCTGAGGTGGTAAATAGCCCAGTGCACTGGGGAGAAGCTCTTTACTTGCCAAAATTGACTAGTAGGGGGTAGTTCAACAAAAATGCAATTAATGACAGCAAATTCACAGCCTGAACCTCGGGCCTCGCTCTCAATACGCAATAAAGGCACTACTCAGGTTTGAGTGGGAATCCCAATGGCTTATTTGACAGTTTGACAATTTAGACATCGGTATATTAATTACTTTTGAAATTAAAATCAGAAGTACATTGCTAGATAAAACACTCTCAAGTGTTGCGATGATCCATTAGTTGGTTATCTGCATATTTAATAGGGCGAGTGTCGAAAGGGGACGATGAAGTTGTTTGCTATGCGCAGGCCCTTCAAGTGTCAGTGATATGTGCTTCCAGCTTGATGATGTGATCCTACATCCACATTCGCAGCCATTGGGACCTCCTGTCGTGAGTAGCAAATCTAGTATGGCTAAATGTGAATCCGAAGAGGACTCGCGGCGCTACAAAACAGCATTAAGAGATTGTGTAGAAAGTTCGGTAAACACTATTAATGTTGGAAGGTAATCAAATGCACAAATTAAAAACGGTTTTTGCCCGGTCAGTAAAAAGGCCTCTAAGTAAGTTTGTCAAAAATTTTCAAAAAAAGTTGGTGATGGTATCAAATTAACACAAATTTTTTGCAAGAAAATTAACAAATACACTTTAGTAAGAACATAAATAAGGCTTCAATGTGAAAATTTACAGGCGGCTGGAACGTAAGTAGCATTTATTGGTAATTTGCTTCTAAACATTGGTATAATTATACGAAAATAACGAAAGCGCATCTCATATAATATGCCATAAAGTAACTCCAACGGATGAGCCTTCTGTTGCATAAAGAAGTGGAAACGATTAGGTTTCATGCTCTAATATAATCATTCATTTTTTGCTTTGTTTTAGTTTTTTGCTTGACTTGTAATTGTTTTGATTTACCAAGTAAGGGAAAAATGATTCAGTTAAAGTGTATTAACGTCATCGAAACTGTTTGAATATGATAATTAATAAATTATTTAGCTGTAATGACTGTAAATATACAAATGCAAGCTCACATATAAAGAAAGGGAAAAATAACTCACTACTTGAATAAAGCGAACTAGCCTCAAATCATTTTTTTCGAATTTATCAAATTTATTTTACGGCAAGTCAGTCAAAAATTCGTCTGCCGTTTGTGGTTGAATGGGGGCATTTCATTTTCGAGAAGTGGTATTCATTTCCTTATCCTACAAATTACTATCATTTATACCTCCGACAACCTAAACAGATTTTATGGATAAATTTAGAACAGATGAACGCCTTAAAGCCCAAAACAGTTATTAGGTCATTTCCAGTACTCAAGCGTCAGTAATGTACAAATAATTTTCATTACATAGTGAACCAAAAACAGTACAAAACTCCTGGTTATTTAATAAACCATCTCCATACACTCATCCTAGAAGCCCCACGAAAAAATTTAAAGTATTTTCTTGTAAGACTATATTGGTGGAATAAAATCACTGCATTTTTGTAGGTATGGCTCATCAAATTTCAAAAGTAAATGTAATTTTGAGGCAGCATCATAGCATAGGAAAGGAAATACCAGTCAGTAAGGACAGATAAGATATCTATGATAAATAAGCATGAGATTTTAAAAGGGGTAGTTTAAACTGACCTTCCAAAAGACCGGCCTACGACACACATCCACCCGGAATAAAGCTGCACATCAAAGGACTTCTTTATGAACGCTGCAATATCCCCTAGTTTGTGGCAGCTCTCCAATGCATCCGAAGCCGTATTCACGGCCATCTTCTGCATCTCCTCCGTCATATCAGTGATTCGAATTATCACTCGCGTTGGTGGCCATCTAGTACCACTGTAGCCGGTGGAATGCCTTCTAACATCCCCAAATGCCATCCTGCATATGAAAAGAGTGAAGTATGCTCCTCATGGCTGGAAAGCACCTTACTATATAGGACTGAATTACGCAATTTGCGCTGTGGAGTCAATTTTTGCGGTGCGTCAAGTGAAAGGGTGCGCTTCAAAGAGCTCACGGCAGAGGAGAGACATGATTTCAACGAAATTTTATGCGTCAGAAGTTATTACCACTTTGATTGAATTAGTGATGTCAAGTTGACTTAATTTGTGTGGTTGTAATAAGAATGCCATTAATTAGTTACACTTTCCAATAAAAATGGCTTTGCACGTAACATAGCTTTCTTCAAAATACAAATCCACAGTGTGAATCCCAATCATTGTGATGGTAGATCAAGTTTTTGTCCTCTTTGATTTGGGTTAAGTATTTATCTGACGTCACTCGGAAATCTGCTCCACCTTGTGCATGGGCAGTTTATTGGTAATTCGCTCTTGCAAAAAATGTTTTTGCTGTCAACGACACCTAGGTTAATTCGCTCACTGTTTGTGCTATGATAATCTTATCTATGGTACAATTTGGTGCAAACTTTCACTGATAAACTGTAAAAGGAGATTGGTGTCACACATTTGTGACGGCCTAAGATTATGGACTGGAACTGTTGCGCCTCATAATTCGGAGTTATAAAAAATGGCCTTGCATGAATGACTTCCAAACTTTTGCCCTTTTATTTCTAAAAATTAACTATATCTACTTCTTTCATTTCGGATTTGATTTGCGGGTTAAGCTACTTAAGTCTTTTAAGTAAAACTTAATATGCCATCCCAAATAATACCTTCACAGCAAATATTGGGTCGAATTATGAGTAAATAATTAATTTAGTGCTGTGTACTGGTAAGAAGTAGGTTTTTGGAATGAGGGACTGACTAGTATTTGTTTCAGTGTTGATATTTAGAATGGACTCCAAAAATTGTTTTAGTGGGTTGCTGCCCAAATGCCCTCACTGAACCACAAATTAAATAAACACACGTACTTACCTAGGCTTTGATATTGTAATGCAGCATTCCAAGTGGTCTGGCAGCAAGAAAGACTTACAGAAGAGCTGGACGTCCAAATCACGGGCGCTCAAAACGGCAGCCGGCAAATTACTACATGTTCCGACTCTTTCCACGGAATGTGGTCCCTAGAGCCTACCCATATGCTACTTCTCCTTAAAACAATGACAAGAGACATTCGTTATGTTTAAAGTCATCGGTAAGCCAAGATTGGTGACCATTTAATTGGTATGGAGAACAAAATGCTTTTCCCATCTTCGACTCCATTTATCTGCAGTTTTTGCACCTTTTCGAGCAGTATTGGAAGAAGAGGAGCAGGTTGGTCTTCTGACATTCAAGACTGGACATAAAGACAATCTGTCTCAATGCACAGGTATTTGGGACGCTAATACCCTCCGTCTGCTCCTCACCTCTACATAAATCCCACCTTAGCACTACTTAGGATTCTCTCCGGTGTAGGCATCATTTGCTCCCAAATGGACCATTTACAGCTAAAATAGATGAGAGTTTCTGGCCTTTTTACATAAGATCCGACCAAAGGAATTGCCAAGGTGAAGTGTCGTGGCTTTGAAGTCTCCTTTGTAGCTATCCATTACAAACCCAGTCATGTGAAGCTGATGCCTATACATTTTTGGGGGTTAAAATTTGCTTATCAGTTAAATATTTCATGGGAGGTTTTTCCGAATTCTTGTCCACAAGCATGAGGTGCTGGATAGTTATAGGCATAGCTAGAAGGTTGCGCCTCCAGGGCAAAATTTGGAACCACTGAGTAAAGGCAGCTGGCTGATCATTGAAACAAGCGCCAAATCATGACATTTACAGTACTCTATTAGGCGAGTTCTCCTGTCCCCGTGAGTTCAGCCATAATCTTGGTGTCACTGCATTCCGCTCCATTTGGTGAGGATTTTACCTCCAAATTACTGCCTTACTGAAAAAAGGGATCTGTTTAAATAAGTAGTAGTGATTTACCACGATTATGATCGGTCTAGGAAGTTATAATTTACCGACTGAAATATACCAGCAATCAAAGGTAGAACAGGTTTCCCTTGGCTATGTCAAAAAATATTCGAAGAGTAGAGCCAGCTTGTTTACAGATGAACCCTTGGAAAGACTGATTTACTCATAGGAACCACAAGGGGAGAGGGGAGAGAGACACCCTTCTCCTTCTCCTCCTTCTCTGAATTTCACAGCTTACTTCTAACTTCTCGACAAACTTTTGAATGTGCCATGCGTTTTACGGCAATAATTTGGTGAAACTTGCTAATTTGTCATAGATACAAAATGGATTAAATCAAGTTGCTCACCAGGTGAAACTTGTAGTTTACTCGTGAAATGGTTGAAACAAGCCTTGATCAGATGTCTTTATAAGTAGTATATTCTCATATTTTAAGCAACCACTTCATAAATCGTTGACAGACTATCCTAGTGAATTTTGCCTAGCCCTTTCTCTTGGTAATCACTCAGCTCAAAAAAATTCAGTTTTTGGTCCTTGTTGGAGGCTTTAAGTAATATAAGTAGTATGGAAGTTGCTACTGCATTCGTGCGCTTTTTGGATGAGAAGATAGCTACGCAATGTTCCTCCTCCCTACACTGGACCCTTATACCCCAAAGATGTTGTTTGAATGTGTGCAAGGAATGTTGATCAGAGCTTGGATGCCCTACAAACTGGGCTTGCCTCGACTTCTTCACAAGTAAGGAAGTCCCTTCTCCAATTTATGGAATGGTATTTGTAGAAGGTGTGATGATTGGTTGCCTATCCCGCAAATAAATTACTCACGTTCCACTCCAAACGCCCTAGGCCCGAAACAAGCTTCGGTGGGCATACCAGCACCCCCATCACCTCATACCACACTCTAAGATGGGACGGAATGCAACAAGATGAGATATCACCCCATCTTCATTCTTCGCATTCACCTGATTATATATCTTTAGGCTTCAGACAATCATTTGTCACCTTCACTTGACCCTAGTACTAGACAGTCACGTGGTCAAGTACGAGATGAATAATCGGAGATGGAGTACGGGCTAGGTGCGTAAATAGGTAGATAGATGCACAAATAAAATAGGCTGCAGAGATGGTGAGGTGTAGTTTTTTTCCATTCCGAACCCATTGATTAAGTATCAAATAGACAATTATCTTTTGCCCCCTAAAACGTAAAAACTTCTCTGTTTAAGTTTACCTTCCACCAAGTCCCGGTTACTCGAACGTCTTTGCTACTCACTCATCCTTTTGGAAGGAGTAAACTCAACTCGAGCATCTTTTTCCGTAAAACAACATTTCGCTAGATGTAGGTACCCCATCCCTCCGGTCATTATGGTTCAGAAAAAAATTAACCCCAAAAAGTAGTGGTGCAATTCTCGCATTCGCGAAATTTCCCTCAACATTTCAGGACGCAATTCAACCAGCATATTGTCTACAACTTTTTTTTATTTTGGTACCTGCATACTTGGTTAACCTGAGATGCAGGTAACGGCACTACGCTCTTGGGGAAGGTGCAGGGGAGGTGGAAAATTAAGGTGTGTATGTGAGAAAAATGGAATGCGGAGGCTTTTCATAACGATTTGTACAGCAAGATAGCAATATGGCCCAAATAGAAGTAGATAAATTTATTCTCCTCGTGAGTGACATAACTAGGAGAGAAGCAAAGCCTAGGATTAATTGAATGACGTACCTGCCGAAATTTCTTCCAACCACGCAATGCCAAGTGGGGGAGAATTCCTTATCAAAGAGCTTTTTTATGTGAGCAGCAATGTCCTTCTCAATGTTATACCGGTCCAGTGCCTCTTCGGCACACTCTATTGCGCGTTGTTGCATCTCCTCCGACATATCGGTGTTCTTTACAATCGCTTTGGAGGCCTCCATGAGTGGTGGTGTTGGTAAAGTTGAGTAGGAGCACTGAAACCGCCTAACTTTTATAGGTCGAGGGGCCTCAGTAGTCTGGCCTCGGTCACTTCAATTGCGTAGCAGAGAGTGGGTGGAGGGTTGGATAATGCATTATACGATCACCTTCTTCTGGCGAACCGGCGTTCTCCATTTTGTGCGTATGTGTGCGTCTGCCCATGTACCGTCCATTGCATTGTGGAGGTGAAATGAACTTAAATGAACTGAGACGAGATGAAATGGAATTTACTCCTAAATCCTTGTGACAATTAATGTGCCTCATTTTGATAACGCCTCTGATTAACAGTCGGGAAAATTTAGTATATTTAAGAATATGTTCTTAATGTTTTTTTTGTGTCAGTGAAAGGAAGAAAATAGACAGTTCATTATGTCACGAAAGTAGTGATCCCACGGGCAAGGCTCTGTTAAAAATTTGCAAAACTTGAGGCAAACGGGAATGTGGAGCCTTGTGGGAAGGCACGTCAATTGGTTCTAAAGAATGTGTTTCAAACGATATCGGAATATACCTAACAAAAATGCAAAAAGTAGGTGCCAGCACTTAAATATTTTAAGAATCGCATGATATTTCTCAAACCCATCCATTGAAGTGCCTATAGAAGTCAAGCTTTTAGTTTCATAATGTTCACTCAGCATTAATCAAATCGGGGTGGCCGGATTTCAAATTCTGTATTTCTGGGAATTGGAAACCAAATTATTTTCCCGGTTATCATTTACAGCGTGATTAGGTAAGCAAATTCAGAAAAAAGGAATTACAAGTAGTTAAGTATAGTTTTCACCTAAAAGACTGTCAATTTATTCAAGGCTGATTGCCTTTCTTTTGTAACCAGAACTGATAACTACAAGATCTTTGTTTTACACTCCCTGTGGACCTAACCATCGATGACCTTTAAATGCGTTGAATTTAATTTTGGAAAATCCTTGCTTCGATTTGCCGGAAGAAGACAACCTTGTTGACCTTAAGATTGAGGTAAGCCTGAACATGCCATCATTGTCGCTGGTGTGGGGTGAAAAAAACCATTCTTTCACCGCACATTCCCGATAACCTCTATGAAACATATTGTTGAGCATAATGCTTATTTGAAAGACCTAGTCACTTTGCTCGCTCAAGAGTGGTGTTTCTATGGCCCTAGATTAGTAAATTTTAAGGGCGAACGCAGCTTCCAATTGTTAAAGGGCTACGAAATTCCGTGAATTCAACTTTATTAAACAAAGTCACAAGTATCTAGGCTTCAAAATCTGGATATCTAGTATTCGCCGTTAACTGATTCTGGTGTTCTAATCTACAAATGGTGAATCTTTCAAATATAAGGGCGAGCATATTACTTCGCTGTTTACGAATGTTTGTGTTGAGGTTGAGCAAGCACTTTGACAGCTTGTTTAAAAAATTTTAAATTACGCGTGTTGATTTATTCAAAGGCAATTTCGGAGGTGAGACTTGATGGCCGTAAGCTATTACTCTTCACAACATCTTTAAGGCACCAAGTTTGTAACCAAATTTACGTTAACCAGCAAAAAATTAAAAACCGCTCAGTTAAACACTGCATGGAAATGCAGAAGGCTCACTACCTCAAAAAGTTGGCCATTCGTTGAACGAAAGCCGGGTTTAATCACATGTCGGTTAGTAAACAGTAAAAACAGAGAGTAAGTTAGGTAGCTGTTTTGAAAGGTCAAAAATGGTGTTCATCAGCCATGAATTAAAGATTCTTCATTAAATGCTTTATCTAGGAATTCACCAATAATGCGGTCTGAAGCCCGATTTGTATGCTAGTGCAATCAGATTCTGGCCGATTATGGCCAGAAGCAGCAGCCTTTTAGGCTTAGCAATCAAGTCCCTGACTTTCCCATTTTATAGATGGTAGGCTTTGGAATAACGCATGATTAGTTGCCCCTTTAATGTCCCACAAAATTTTGCTAAGGGGCGATAAATATTTGTCTGGAAGATTGGTGGGGTAAAAATCACCACTTTTTCTCCCAAAATCAATAGGAATAGTGAAGCTGCATGGATGGAAGACTTTCGCCTCTTATCGCAATTCATCTGAGCCATTTCACGATGTGCCGGAGTTAATTTTAAAAAATGTGAGAACTTCCATATAGTCAAATACGCGCAGTCATTCAAATCGACGCAATTGTAGCCTACGGATTAGGTTACAGTGTGTGCGCTCACTCACTCGCACAAATTGTAGTAACAAACGCCTTTTGGCCGTCTCGTTGGTTCTCTCTCTCACACGCACACGTAACCTGCAATGACCTCCATCTACTGTGCTCTGGGCTTATGAAGGCCTGCGCACAAGCATGCCTACCCACACACACATTTGCAGTGAGGCGCAATAGAGGGGTCTGTTGAGGCCAAGCTACTAAGCACGCTTTAGACTATTTAAGAGAGTTGCCAAACGGCGTCAGCCACCATCTCTCTGCGATGACCACAATGACCGATCACACCAAAGCGATTGTGAAGAATGCCGATATGCCCGAGGATATGCAACAGAAGGCGGTAGATATTGCCAAAGATGCAATGGAGCAGTTCTCCATTGAGAAGGACATTGCGGCACACTTGAAGAAGGCATTTGACAAGGAGTACTCTCCCACATGGCATTGTGTTGTTGGACGCAATTTTGGCAGGTAGGTATTGAGCTGGCACTTTATCCAAGTTTGTCTGAGTATGTCTAAGTGGTTTTACCTTTTCAGCTATGTGACTCACGAGTCGAAACACTTCATCTACTTCTACATGGGACAGGTGGCTATCCTCCTCTTCAAATCGGGCTAAGTGTTGCCAGCCCCTTCCTCCTCCGCCTCTACCGCTTGAATGTTTGTACATTTGTGGTTTAGATGTTTTTTCCTCTTCTTTCATTTCCTTCAACTTCTTCTTCCCCTCCCTCTCCTTCTACACTTGATTACTTTAAGCTCATGAATACTACTGATAAAGCATGGAATAAATGTGGGTGAAGTGGATTTTTGAATGGCATTTAGAGTGCCGCGAGGAAAGGAATAATGAGGTGGTTGGGTTCAGCCATTCTTATCAATGCTCTCTGCTTCCTTGGGTAGACATGTGGTTGCCAAGCACTTCATCTGTGGAGTGGATAAATGAGAGATAAAGTGATTAATGAAACATTTGTGAGTAGAGCTTTGACCTGGGCAGGGCAAAGCTAGTGTGTCAATTTGGAGATTAGTAGAGAAGCCTCATCATTCGGGCCATTACGTTAGAAGCAAGAGACACTTATTTCTCAATGGGTAGAAATAACGACTGAAGGAAAGTCGGTTAGTGCTGTTTACTCTGCCATGGCCCACCTACCTAGTTCAGGGAATGTAATCGACCTCGTACTAAGCACATCAAACATCTACTTTATTGTCTTAAGGTCATTTTTTTCGATGTAGTGCAACCACACGTCTGTAGCGTATAATTAATGAAAACCGAGGTGTCACATACCTGTGACGCAGTGTAAATGTGTTTATAATGATCGGAACTAGATATTCCAACTACCAAAAAGTGGCAATTAATGCAAAGAACAAAAGTAGAATAACTAAGGCAGTTAAATAGAATAAATGATTTCTTTTATTAAAAAGGAAACCTATTCACCTCCATTTCACTGATGCCTTCTTCTTGGAACTTTAAGGAGGGTGAAGGATTTGCGAAATGTATTTAAGCTCGGGACATGTAAAATTGTAAGATTAGGGTTACTTTCCAACTCTTCTAGAGGATTTGCCACCTTCTCTTACCTGTCACCTCCACCTCACCTCCACCTACTACCCCTCCACGGTTAGGCGGAGTCCGTGCCAAGTGTCTCCAAGCCACACGCGCCCTCACCAGTTCTTCTTCTACGTCGGTTATGCAAATTAGGTCAAACTAATTTTTCTTAATTACACTCCCCCGGTTGTAGCCTTTAAAGGAAATGAATACTTTTGGTTGGGTTGTGAATAAACATTCCTTTACGCCTTTACTTCAAAAGACCCTACCTTCAAATTTGCCTACCCTGAATTTATGACTGGTAGGAATGCTTGAAACCCACAGCACCGGAAGGCTGTACCAATTACTTTATTGCCTTCATAGACTTTGTAATCCATTATTTAATGAAAAATGCCCTGTCAATATTGAGGAGCAAGGTTACTGAGTCAGAAGGCTGTGAGCTGTCACTCAAAAAACATTATGAAGAGTCCTCTCACTATCTGAGCAGGCCCTGATGCGTCGGAGGGAGGAGACCCCTAAGACGTCGGCCTCTCTAAGAAAACTGAAGTCCACTAAGGCCGCTACAAGAGGACGCCCTTTGAAGGAGCAGAAATCACGTCTTTAGCCATACTTAGCCATTGTCTCAGGATGGAGAGTTACTTGAAAAGCGTGGGTACAAAGTGATTTGCCATTCTGGGAGGGGCTGGTTATGTGTTGGCGAGGAGTTCCATGCACTGGAACGGGTCTAATAACCACCAAGGCTTGAAGTTGCAACTGACTGTGCTTGAAACGCCCCCGTCAGTCAAATGCCTGACTTTCATAGCTGATTGTCCCAAAACTGCTTTCTGTAGGGACTGGTGGGTGATTTCATCACCACAGACTGCATTAAGGACGCTCCGTATTTCTAACCTTTAGCCAGACTGGTTCATGGTATGTGAATAGGACCTATAAATCAAACTTTTTGAAATTTCGCCAACCAACTAACCACCGTATGTGTCAGGCAATACCTTTTCACCTTTAAAAAAGCCTCTCAAAAGGCCTCAAACGATTGATCCATCTTACCTACTAGTAGTACCACTATGACCCCATTGGTGAATTCCTATTGGCTGAGGCGAAGGTGATTAAAGAGGGCTAATTTACCACACCGAAACTTCTCACATTTGGCCCATAAAAGCAGCACTTTTTGATATAAGAATACTTAATTCCTCTGCGAGGCAGCTTGAAGCGCTACTTTCTTACGTATAAATGCATCAACCTCCGCCTCGGTAGGAGAGGAGGGCACAGCAGTCATGGCGGCGTACAACAAGGCGGTCATCAAGAGTGTCGACATGTCCGATGTCATGCAGCAGGATGCTGTAGACGTGGCCAAAGAAGCGGTGAGTAGAAACGTCATTGAGCGAGACATCGCCACCTACATTAAGGCTGAGTTTGACCACAAGTACTCCCACACCTGGCATTGTGTTGTGAATCAAAATTATGGCAGGTATGTGTGCATTTTCCATCTTTTCTTTCTCCAATCTCTTTCTCCCTTGTTATATAGCTATGTCACCTATGAAGCGAGACACTTTATCTACTTCATGTTGGGTCACCTCTCTGTTCTCCTCTTCAAAGCTGGCTGAGGTAAGGTGGAAGAAGAAAGAAGGAGAACTTTGCTACTTCATTTATAAATTTTTCAGACTTTAATTTATGTGTTAAGTGGGAATGGTTTTTTTGTGGATGGCGAGGTGGAGATTATGGGCGGAATTTGGGAGGGAAGAATTTTGGCAGCACGTTTGATAGATGACACCTAATTTGAGTCTATTTTCCACCACCGTTAATCGCTTTCCTCGCCTCCTTTGTGCGTTAATTCATCCTCAAGATGTGAGTTGGAACTCGAGTACTAAGGGGTTGGAGATCGCCTGTATCCAGAGTGACAGGTAGCTTGGGTCACAGAGGTTCAACTTGCTTTTCAGGCTAAACCCCAAAACGGAGGATAAAGTGGGGATGGGCTCAACTTCGAGTGTGGTGGTGTGGAATGTCTTGACTGGGGGACAAATAATAGCTGGATGTCTCACCAAGAGTCAGATTAACTGTGGCGGCCTGCATAAATGAATAATTTTGTAAAATGACCTATCCATCCATTATCCCGCATCCATCCAGCCAAAACCAATCCATTCAACCTTGGCCCAAACGACAAATAATTGTCACCTCGATCAGGATTTAAGGAGAGTTGAAGAGTGTGAAGGAGCATGATCTTGCCGAAACACACCTTAGACCTTTTCAAGTCAATCCTCATAATCAGAGGCTTGAAGTCTCTCGCCAGCCTCTGGTTACTGGAAATTGCGGCTTAAAGAAGGCCCAGCAATGGTGAGTTGAAAGTCTTATTTTTTTGAGGCGATTTAGAGAGAAGAAAAACTCATTAGTTGAACTGAGGTCTGTGCACACCTTGTAATCACTTGTGTGGAGCACATGAGGCGTTGTTGTTTGAGGTGACTGAGGCCAGGTTACTGAAGACAGAGCCACCTCACCGGAGCATATAAGGTCCTGTCTAACTTCGTCCTATTTTTGAAGGGAAGACACCGTGTCAAATAGAGGAGAATTCAGTACAGATTGAGCAAATTCACTGCCATAATTCGACCAACTCAAATTACGTCCGCCGGGTATCGTCACCATTTAATGCCCTGGGGGGCGGAGGGGATGAATTTGCAGTAGGCGAAAAGTATCGGAGTATTGTATGCCATACGGACTGACGGATTGATACTTTATAATGCAGACGGTATAAATAATGTCCTGAACCATACTGATCCACTACAAATTACCTCAAGGCAACAATGAAAGCGATTTGGTGCTCCGATTAGGTTCGTGTTAAGCTACTCGGGCACTCGAGTCCTCTCAGTTTGAGGTTCAACTCGGCGGCAGTACATGACTTTTGTGTACATCAGTAATATGTTCTTTTACAGCACTTTCGGTTGCTATGACCCCATAGAAGTCCAAGAAGACTTCGTTCAGTAATCAAACACATATGTAAATCTATTTGCGTGGAAGTCTTTTGAAAAGATTTTGGAAATTATTTTTAAAGAAGCGATCCTATATTGCCTAGTTAAGAATAACAGGTTTGGGGAATAAATGTCATATTTATTTTAAAAACCGTAATAGGACGGAAAAAAGTGCAGCTTAATAGCATTTTTAGATAATTTTCAGCACACTTGAAGAAGACAGAAATACTAAATTATCTCTATAAAATAAATAAATCTAGACTACTTAAAGTGCATGGTTAGAAATTTCCATATTTTATAAAAATAGATGTATTTATGTTCACACAAAAAGGCTGCAAAATGGCTGTTGCACGAAAACAACTGTTCCCGCATTTGTTTTAGTGCGGCTTCTGCTGTGCGGGCCTTCGGTTTCAGCCATAGCGTTGGTTACTAACACATCTTTTCTCACTTTGTTATGACTTGTTACAACCCCGGAAAGAGCTCCGGATCCTGCCTCGGTGGTAACGACAAGCCAGTTGGATTTCCTTGATCGACTCCAAAAGGATGAACGTCTGCTGCGGATGTTAGAGCCGGCGGCAACTCATAACGGAAGGGTCACCGAGGCCCGCCATATCTGCTGTTGGCATTTGCTGCATTCTAACAGTTTGTAGGAGGGTAATCGATAGCCGATGCCGCATCCGATCCGAATGTCTTGAAAATATTCATCACAGGTGGAGGACGGATAATGACTCCACTGGTGACAGACGGTGAGTTGACATCGGCAGTGTCTGTGGTGAAAGAATCGGTAGGTCTAACTGACTGTTGAGCTGACTTCTGTATTGAGAGATCCAGCTCTGATTCCGATTTGGAAAACCATTCTGCCGCAATGGCCAGAGCTTGCTGTCATGGCACGAGCTGTCATTTCTAAGTAAAAGTCAATCCTGAAGACCTCATCGCATTGACTATTCAAGTCGGAGGGAAAGAGTTGTCATGGTTTCTTCCCCGGCTGCTATGCAAGGTCAGCCATCTCTTCCTCATCCTCCTATTTGTGTATCGCCCTCTTCACAAATCGCTGAATGCTCGTGCGGTCACCACAACGCAATTCTCCCGACTTTAGGTGGGCGGTGGGACATTTGTCGAGAGGAACCGGTAGAGAGGGGCTGAGGTGGTTCCATCCTGACGACTAACAAGTCATCAAACTTTGTTGCTTACTTGTGTCGTGTTGGGGGAGGCCAGAGCCTTTGCGGCCTGCTTCTAGTCATCAATCCTGGCAAATGACTCGCCAATAATGAAATCGGCTGTCGAGATAGGTGTTCCATTTGAGGCAACGGATGGGAGAATGGCTCTTCCACCGCGAATATTCTCTGTGCACAAATCGGTAAGGTGTGTAAAACGATTCTTGAACCGGGGAAAAAGAAGGAAATGGGAATTATTCCCATAAAGTAAACTTAACTTACCGACGACAACCTTACTCGCGTGGGACAGTATACCGTTGAAACAGAGCAAAAGTATAGTATGCCTTGGCAATGGAAGTCAAGGAAGTCTTAAAATGGGATAAGATGTCTCCATCTACCCATCGGTGCACCCATCTGTACCGTGTCCATCCTTCACTCCAGCCATCTCGTATCCATTCGTCTGTCTGCGTGTCTATCCGTCTGGATGCAAGGATGATCATATCAGCGGAGATGAAGCCTGAGGCAAAACCCGCAGCGTAACCAATTCTTAGGCACTCAAGTTATTGTCTTTTAAAGTTTTTTTTTAAGAAGCACCTTAACCTCTTCTTGAACGTGAAATAAGCTCTAACGGCAACGAAAGAAGATTTGTCAGCAACAACCAGGAAGGACCGTCCATCTTGTCGGAATGGTTGAGAGACACATGTTGTTACCTCTTTTCATAAAAAAAGGTAGTTGAACCAATTTACCCTTTTCCATACCTCAATCCGTATTGTAGGCATTAGGTTTATTTCTACTAAAATGGGTTCAGTAGCGTCGTCATCATCCAAGCCAACAGTTTTCGCCAAATAGTTTGATACTCATTAGGTAACCGCTTCTCTATTAAGTAAGAAGTGACTTCGTTTAGCTGTTGTGTCATGAGGTTAATGGCTTCCCAAATGAGACACGAGGTAGGCAAGTCACGATATCAACGATCTCCGCGTAGTTTTGGTTCATTGAATTGCTTCCTCTACCACTTCACTGTTGCGCATCGCGGCATTGTACCATTTACTGACGACAATGCCAGCTGATCGGCACTACGTTCCCCTACTGCCTCTGCTAATGACTCGACCGGGGCTTAAACATCAGAAGGGTAATTTTACTCATCTTCCTCAGTGTTCGCAATGGGAACCTTCCTGATGAATTCAAACATAAAGTAAATATTGTTTCTAGGGAAGAAAGTAGACCAATAAAACGCTTTGTGCAAGCTTTAATCCATTTGCTTCACGAAAAGTCGAAGTGAATCACATCACTGCAAATCTTAGCTAGCAACCAAATTCGTATAGAAATATACAAGTAACTCGAGTAATTAATCAGTTGTCTGTGCAGTTTTCCTTTAATTATATGCAAGGCAGGAATGCATACACAATCACTACTCCATTACACCCTCCATCTCACTGTCTGTTGGCCTATTAATTTTCGGCAAAAGGGCCGCCCAAGTCTCCTTTCTTCAAGCTGCACTTGTGATGGCCTCAGTTTAGTTACTTTCACACAAAGTTTGTGCCCCAATTCATTTGTCTTGTTGGATTCATGAGTCCGCTAGAGTGAGAGTGATTTTACTCCTCCCTCAAATGCAAATTTCTCCACACAACGAGAGAGGGCCTCCCACACTTGTGTAGTAATTCGGAATCGGTTTGTGTAGGTAAAAAACCATGCCCCTTTTGAAATAAAAGGGGACCTGAAGAATAAAAAATGCATTATTATATTTGTACTGTGTAAATAGCAACGTTTGCCATTTCATGGTGTTCGGGGAATGATAAAGTCTCCCACGTTACAGTCACTGGCAGTTAAGACGAATTCGAATATTTCACCTGACAGAAATGACTTTCGCATAAAGTCAGTGATTTTGAACTGTTTTTGTTTCTTTTTTGTTTAACTTCTTAGGGAAAATTACACCATTTATTTGACAGCTCACCTTTGATTAGTCAGAGAAATCCCCTTACAAAGTGATTCACTGACAAGTTGTGGAGTCCCATTCTAGGTTAACCCGCACGAAGTCCAGCTACTAATTAGTACTCGTGATGCGCTTGCTTTTTTTTACTGCAAACAACTTGCACCCACACAGTGAAAAGGCTGACACACTCCGTAGAGTCACTGAGTACGGCAATTGCAGGCCGTCTCAATCTGTGCCCTGCACTGGCCTCTGAAGTTCGGTTTACCTCCGCAGCGCAACAGAGGTCGACGTACTTCATTTGCATTGTGCATTTGATTAAGCTTACATAGGGCAAACCATCACAATGGCCACCTCATAGGTACGTCCAAGTTGAGTGAGAAGACAACCTCGCCCCCACAAGACCTCAGGTGACTGCATTTGCACGAATCGACCTTAAATGCACATATAAACATGGCCACCTCTCAGTTGGTCCAAATGAGGCGAATGGCGTCTGTGTGGCATGCGTGAGGTCACCTGGTAGAAACCATCATTTACTTAAAGCTGCAGTTACAGGTCTGATC